CAGCTTCTGTGATTATGGTGATGGCACACAGTGGATGGTGAAGGCATCCTTTGAATATTGAATTTCACAAGTGGATATATTTGTTTAACCACTTCAGGACTTTTTTGGTGGACTTGTTTTTTTAATATACATTGTGGTATGTGATTTATATAGATTTAACAGCACAACACACTGTTGGTATAGAACATTAAAAACCTGACAGAGGGCCTAACTTGTTCACACTTGTTCCAACATAAAAAATCCTTTCAAACACTGAAATAATTGTAAAATAAAGCTGGCCAAGCATATAGCGTTTGTTGCCACATCATACAAAGTATATGCAATAGTGTAAAAATGTCTGTGTTTCCTGTATCATCTGTTATTTCCTTGGGGACAGATTGGACTTTTATTGCCCTCATCTAGAGAGCTATCTCTCTTTACTTCCATTCGATCCCTCATTTCACTCTCTCCGCCACTCGTAGTGAAGTAATAATTGACATACTTCTGTAAACCGCAGTAAGAAACCTCTCCTAATACCAGCAGATGGAAAAACTGAGGCAGGAACAGTGAACTGAAGTGGCTTGGAAGTGAACAGTGGCTCATTATCCTCAGATAAACCTAACGGCTACTCTTATTAAAACCACATTTATTATTAATCTCAATGTGGTATATGTATACCTAAAATAAGTCCCCATCGCCAGAATAAAATGGGAATGTATGTGGAATTTGGCAGTTTTTTTTCATTCTGCTATTAATATTAACCATGGGGTAGAGACTTTGGTTTGAGACATGTTATTGAAGTATTTTGAAATAGGACCATCTATAACATCAACCACAATTAATGGATGCTAACTTCCAGGGCAAATTCTCTACTGACGTTAAGATAACTTACATTTAGACACACAATACTGTTATAGCTGCTCATGCGTATCACTCCACTGCCCATATACAGGTGAAACTCAAAAAATTAGAATATCGTGCAAAAGTTCATTGATTTCAGTAATGCAACTTAAAAGGTGAAACTGATATATGAGATAGACTCATTACATGCAAAGCAAGATAGTTCAAGCCGTGATTTGTCATAATTGTGATGATTATGGCTTACAGCTCATGAAAACCCCAAATCCACAATCTCAGAAAATTAGAATATTGTGAAAAGGTGCAATATTCTCGGCTCAAAGTGTCCCACTCTAATCAGCTAATTAACCCATAACACCTGCAAAGGGTTCCTGAGCCTTTAAATGGTCTCTCAGCCTGGTTCAGTAGGAATCACAATCATGGGAAAGACTGCTGACCTGACAGTTGTGCAGAAAAACCATCATTGACACCCTCCACAAGGAGAGAGAAAGCCTCAAAAGGTAATTGCAAAAGAAGTTGGATGTTCCCAAAGTGCTGTATCAAAGCACATTAATAGAAAGTTATGTGGAAGGGAAAAGTGTGGAAGAAAAAGGCTCACAAGCAGCAGGGATGACCGCAGCCTAGAGAGGATTGTCAGGAAAAGGCCATTCAAAAGTGTTGGGGACTTTCACAAGGAGTGGACTGAGGCTGGAGTCAGTGCATCAAGAGCGACCGCACACAAACGGATCCTGGACATGGGCTTCAAATGTCGTATTCCTCTTGTCAAGCCGCTCCTGAACAACAAACAACGATTTTGGAGCACTTCATGCTTCCTTCCGCAGACAAGCTTTATGGGGATGCTGACTTCATTTTCCAGCAGGACTTGGCACCTGCCCACACTGCCAAAAGCACCAAAACCTGGTTCAATGACCGTGGGGTTACTGTGTTTGATTGGCCAGCAAACTCGCCTGACCTGAACCCCATAGAGAATCTATGGGGCATTGCCAAGAGAAAGATGAGACATGAGACCGAACAATGCAGAAGAGCTGAAGGCCGCTATTGAAGCATCCTGGTCTTCCATAACACCTCAGCAGTGCCACAGGCTGATAGCTTCCATGCCACGCCGCATTGAGGCAGTAATTGCTGCAAAAGGGGCCCAAACCAAGTACTGAGTACATATGCATGCTTATACTTTTCAGAGGTCCGATATTGTTCTATGTACAATCTTTGTTTTATTGATTGCATGTAATGTTCCAATTTTCTGAGATTGTGGATTTGGGGTTTTCATGAGCTGTAAGCCATAATCATCACAATTATGACAAATCACGGCTTGAACTATCTTGCTTTGCATGTAATGAGTCTATCTCATATATTAGTTTCACTTTTTAAGTTGCGTTACTGAAATAAATGAACTTTTGCACAATATTCTAATTTTTCGAGTTTCACCTGTACATGCAGATTTGTAAAGGAAACTTACACAGGGGACATACATTATGTAAGTTGGCATTGCTGACCCTTTGCTGAAAATGCCAGTTGCCTTACTTCTCTTTACATCATTCTTTCTTAGTCAATGACCTACAACAAGCATAGCTCAGAAAGAGTGGTATACCATGGCAGACTCCATGTTCCTCTAAATACCTTCAGTGCTCTTGTTCCTATCTTCTAACTGCTATTCTGAAGGGCATCAGATTCAGCAAGCACTTACAAAAAATTAGCAAGCTTCAAACTATATTATATGGATACCAGTGCTTCTAGTACTGTCCACAAATTGTCTAAGATTGCCGCTGCTAAACTTCCGGTTTACATCTGACATAATTTTTGATACGTTTCATCAGATCAACTTCCTCAAATGATGAGGACGTCAATCCGATGAAACGTGTCAGAGGATGACGTCAGCCGTAAACCAGAATTTTAGCAGTGCCCATCTTTGGAAAGGTCTTGTTTGCTAGCATTCATCTTCACATTGTAAGAGGGTTTTTTAAGAAATAAAGAATTTAACTTTTAGATAGTGCTACACTATGTTGTATTCTATTTGAATTCACATGGCTTCTAAATATATGGATACACTGCGGAAATGAGATGGTGTTGGCTTAAAGAGGGCAATCTTTGGAGCTCATACATGCTGGGTTTCATGTGAATTTGGTAAGGTGCATGGTCTAAAGGGTGAGGAGTGTGGCGCACCAGGTGGATGGTACAGTTTTTGGGTGATTGAATCACATATAAATGTGAGGGTATTTAGGTAGAGGCACTTTTTTATTGATATAAATTACTACACTATATGGGTATTTTTCTTTTTGGGAGTCCATGTGGTGAGGAGACCAACACACGTGTGAAGAACAGTAGAAGGATAATATGCATAAATGTAAGAATTGTTTGGACTGAGGGTAAAGGTAGCGGTGGTGGACACCAGAGTTTTTTCACATGGTGGAGTGTTTGGCACATTAATATAATTTTTATGTGAGCATGATTATTTGGTTTTATTAGTTAATTTACTAGAGGAGATTATACTCCTATGCGATTTTATATATTGTTCACATGATGGGAGAGGGACACGTTGGAGTCAATTTGGATATCTGCATATAAGAGAAAACACAAGTGTATGGACTGAAGGGCTTGATTAGCTTCATCATCTGGTGAGAGTATGAGGAGAATATAATACATTCAGCATGGAATTTTTCCCGTGACTGTGGAAATTAACTTTTAAAATTTGTGGACAGTACTAGAAGCGCTGGTATTACTATAATATAGATTTTGTCTACCCAGGGGGTATAGTGTGCATTGATCATCCAGCAGCTGGGAATTTCTTTCTTTGTAATTCCTCAGGCGTGACTGATTATTTATTTGATATAAGCTTCACAATACTTTCCTGAAACAAGTACCCTTCAATTTTATTATCTGAGAGCTGAATGAGGGATTATAATAATAAAAAAAAGTGCACTTTTTTCAAAATTCATGAAGACCTATAAAGGCTGCAATTTTATTATCTTAATTCAAGGATTGATCTCCTTTTGCATCTGATCTAAGCTGCTATACACGATTTTACAGTTAAACAAGGTTATTTCATCATATTGATTTTCATCAATGGTTATGCTGAAATGATCACAGGAAGAGAAATGCTGCACAGTATATAACCGTGTACTATTACCCTTCAGCAGAATTTCCTATGAGGATTTAAGACAAGCCATACATGAATCAATTTTTCTTTCCTTCCACCAGGGGTGGAAGGAAAGCAAATCACTCATTCTCCCATCAACACAGTCAGTGTTGATGGGGGAATACCTCCTGCAGCGCTTTTGTGTTCTGCTAGTGAGGGAGCACGGGAAGCTTCCCCTGCCGGCAGAACACAATGATTACTGTTGTGGGCTGTAGCCACAGGCAGTAATCGCATGCTAAAAATCCAACAGGCTGGTTGTACACAAGTTGAACAATGGATCAGCTTTGGTTCAAACAGCCTGCCCATAGATAGACTGAATCTCGGCTGGTCCCTGATAAACTGGCCAAGAACTGTGTCTGGCTGGCTTTAGTTGTGGCAGGGATGTGGCCAACACCAAAGCAGTGTTGAAGACACCAGAGCAGTGGGGATGAGAAACCTTACAGTGGACAAGGTGTGGACCATTCCATGAGGGTCTAGAAAGCCACCAGGTGATGTTGGATGTGCTGGACTCCATTAACCCTGTATTAGTTGAAATACATTTATATCAAATCAAGAGAGTCCATATTTGGATTCACCTCAGCAAGGTTGGCCTACATCAACTTACTATATCTAATAATTGATATTTGTAGCCATCAACAGAAATCTGCCCAAGCCCCTAGTCTTCTGCGTTTACGGCATTTAAACCTCTTTTTTTCTCTCAACGCTGAGCTGACAGTACTTATCTGGATACACCTCAGTGAGCTTAGCTCACCTCCTCTTGTTCTACCTAATAACTGATGTTCATAACCATCAACAGAAATCCACCTAGTTGGCTGTGGTCCTGAGGGTCAGCCATTGGGTTTACTTTGATCCCAATACTAATCTGAGATTAATTCTCAATCCTGTCTTTTTATAACAATTGTCACTACTTTGTATATAAATTACTATATTGTAAACTTTTTCAATAAAATGTACTGAACCGGAAAATACATTCATATTTTGTAAGTGCTGATTGCTGTTTTGTCTCTGACACCGATGTTTTCTGTATTAGATTCCATTTTATGGAGATATCTGTGAGCAGCTGAAGGCCGGGGATAATTGTGAGAAGCTAGTTGGATATTCGGCTGTGTACAGAGTGTGTTTCGGGATGGCTTGTTTCTTCTTTATACTCTTTATCGTGAGTATAAACATCAAAAACAGCAGAGGCTGTCGAGCTGCCGTCCACAATGGGTAAGAACATATGTGCACCTCTTAGTGTTAAGATTGGACAAAACTGTCTGTAAAAAAAATAGCTGACAATATTTGACTTAGTTCAGCTTTTGACACCAATAAAAATGTTAGTTTCTGTGGCCATATCATTATTACATTGTTTGTAGTTGGTACTCCTAGAAAATGAAAAAAAAAGCAGGAAGCCACTCTCCATTAAAAGCCCACGTCTGCTTGTTCACGAGTCTAATGCACGAGCAATATTTCCCAGTGTTGTTTTTGGTCGTTTGGTGCTTACACATACCATAGTACAAAGCCATGGGATCTCACTCATTTACTTAAATTTTTCTTAACTGTACCATGCTGAAGAGGAGGATTGACCACAGATTAAAAAAAGTTTTCAATGCGAAAGCAATATGGAGATTTCAAAAAGAGGCTTATATCACTGAGGGGGTTTAGCTTATTGTAAAATATTGAGCATCTTATGTTGAGAGGCCTTTTTAGATTATTATTATACATGATTTTTATATTGCCAACAGTTTGTGCAGCACTTTACAAAAGATTAAGTGAGTCCTACTTGTGGGAGCTTGCAGTCTAAAAGATAAGGGAAGGTGGTATAAAAGGTAATAACTGTGATGGGTGAGCTGAAGGAGAAGTTAGAAGTTCAGTTTTGTAGGCATAGGAACGATAGGCTTCCCTGAAGAGATATGTTTTCAGAGATTTCCTAAAGGTGGACAGAGTAGGAGATAGTCGAGTCAATTAGACTAGACTAAGGAGTTTCAGAGGATGGGAGAGCTTCTGTAGAAGTCCTGAAGGTGAGCAAGGGAAGAGGTGGCAAGGAAGCTAGAGAGCAGAAGATCTTGGGAGGAGTGAAGTTGACTGTTTTATATTTTGAGATGAGGTTGGTGATGTAGTTGGAGTAGAGTTTTGGATGGCTTTGTATGTTGTTGTTAGCATTTTGAACTTTATACTTTGTACGGACAGAAGCTGGTAGAAGGATTGGCAGGGAGGGGAGACAGCAGCAGACTGGTTATAAGGTAAGTGAGTCTAGAAGCTGCATCGTGATAGACTAGAGGGCATAACCTTTGGTGTAATGGTAGGCCAACTTGAATGGAGATACAAGTAGTATTTTTTAGTTCTTTAAAGCCTCATATACACTGGGTGTTTAGTTGCGGCTGGAGGGTACAGACAAATATTTAGCCCTGCTGCTTACAGCCTGTCAAACTCTGAGATTCTGGCAGCTTCTGCAACTGGATAGGGCTGCACGGTGCACACAGCAGTACTTACAGTTAGGTCCATATATATTTGGACACAGGCACAATTTTAGTTTTTTTTTTGTCAGGTATTTACCAAAACATATTCAAGCTATAGTTTTATCATGGATATTGGCAGAAAGTGCACACTCTCAGGTTTAATTTGAGGGTATGTACATCCAAATTGGAGGAAGGGTTTAGGAATTACAGCTCTTAAGAATAGCCATCACCCCCTTTTTTGAATGGACCAAAAAGTAATTGGACAGTTGAATCAAAAGTTGTTTCATGGCCACGTGTGGGCTACTCCTTCGTTATTTCTTCATCAATTAAGCAGGTAAAAGGTCTAGAGTTGATTCTAAATGTGGTATTTGCATTTGGAACTATTGCTGTGAACTTACATCATGCATTCAAAGGAGCTGTCCATGCAAGTGAAACAGGCCAATGTAAAGCTTCAAAAACGAAACAAATCCATCAGAGAAATAGCAGCAACATTAGGAGTGGCCAAATCAACAGTTTGGTACATTCTGAGGAAAGAAGAAAGCACTGGTGAGCAACATAAAAATGCATGGACGTCCACAGAAGACAACAGTGGTGGATGACCGCAGGATCCTCTCTATGGTAAAGAAAAACCCATTCACAACATCCAGACAAGTGGAAGGACACTCTCAAGAGAAGACTTCACGAGAGCAAATACAGAGGGTTCACCTCAAGGTGCAAACCATTCATAAGCCTGAAGAATAGAAAAGCCAGATTAGACTTTTCCAAAAAACATCTAAAAAAGCCAGACCAGTTCTGGAAAAGCATTCTTTGGAAAGCTGAAACTAAGGTTTATCTGTACAAGAAAGACAGGAAGAAAAAATTGTGGAGAAGCTTGGAACAGCTCATGATCAAAGGCACACAATGTAATCTGTAAAACATGGTGGAGGCAGTGTGATGGCATGGGCATGTATGGCTTCCAGTGGCACTGGGTCATTGGTGTTTATTGATGATGTGACAGAAGACAGAAGCAGCCGGATGAATTCTGCAGTGTTTAGAGAGATACTGTCAGCTCAGATTCAGCCAAATGCAGCAAAGCTGATTGGACAGCACTTCACAGTACAGATGGACAATGATCCAAAACACACTGCAAAATCAACACAGGAGCTTTAGAAGGAAAAGAAGTGGAATATTCTGCAATGTTCGAGTCAATCACCTGATCTCAACCCAATTGAGCATGCATTTCACTTGCTGAAGGCAAAACTAAAGACAGAAATAACTGTAGACTGCTGCAGTTAAAGAATCAGAAAGGAGGAAACCCAGTCTTTGGTAATGTCCATGGGTTCCAGACTTCAGGCAGTCATTGTCAGTAAAGGATTCTCAACAAAATATTAAAAATGAACATTTTATTTTGATTATATTCATTGGTCCTATTTACATTTGAGCCCCTGAAAATGGTTGCAGTTCCTAAAATTTGTACTTGATATTTATGTTCAGCTCCTTGATTTAAAGCTGAAAGTCTGCACTTCAAATTCATTTGGATTGTTTTGTTGTGGTATACAGAGCCAAATATATGAAAATTGTGCCTGTGTCCAAATATATATGGACCTAACTGTATGTTTCGTATGAGCCCAGAACTCAGACTGCTTATGGTCCAGGCGTTATTTCTTGGGAACATACTACCCCAAGTGTATATACTGCTACACACCATTCTGCCCAGCCGAGATTCTCATAGAGTTTGACAGGCTGCCAGCAGTGGGTGTGGATGATGTGCCTGTGCCCTCCAGCTGCAGAAAAGGTCTCCAGACTTTCTGGAGTCTTGGGCACTGGGGCTAAAAACCAGTGTGCATGAGGCCTAAAAGGTCAGTCTACTAAAAAAAAAAAAAAAACTTGAAGATTTTATTATAGATGGAGCTTAGTGGACTTTATCAGCCCCTGACTTCTTGTATGTCTCAGATACTCCAGCAGTGAGATCTCCTGGCTATAATTCCCAACTCTCTCTACCTGGATGTCCATTGTTCACCTTGTGTGTTTCTGCACTTCCTCTATAATATTAAATAAATCCGACAGGTAGATTGTGATCTCCCTATAATGTGGGAGCACTTCATAATGGCTGCAGTGCAAACCCAGCAACTGAAAAGATGAGATCTCACCAATAGACTTCTCGAGAGATTGAAGAAATGCTTATGTGGTGTAACTATAGAACATCCACCAAGAACAGAGGTATCGGTTTTAAGTAGACAAACCCTTTACCATGATGTCCTCATGTATGAACAGTATTTTCATTCATCTATAATTGATGCTGACAAGTGGCAGGATAAAAAACTTTATTGACAAAGCCCAGTGGACCCAATACTGGAAAAGTTGCATAACTGAAAATGCAGCATTTTTATTTGTTTATTGACCCTGAGATGGTATGTTTATGCAGCTATATATTTCCTTTGCAGATTCTGGTTTGTCAAGTTTCTGATTCTTGTAGCAATGTGTTCTGGAGCCTTCTTCCTACCTGATCAAGATACATTCCTTCTAGGTAATTTTGTCTTTTATTGTATTTGTATTGCACTTAATTAAAAATCTGCTGCCAGTTAGACGGGTGTGGTAAATTCAAGTGTGCTAAATTGTGTAGGAATCACAAAAGATCTTATTGGTTCTCCTGAAAATAAATGGTTGTAAAGCTGCCTCTATGCATGACGGTAAAAAAGCTCAGTGTGCTGCTCCCCCTAATACTTACCTGAGCTCGAGCCTGATCCATCAGTGAGCACAAGAGCGTCTTCTCTCCTGGGTCTCCCTTTCCTCATTGGCTCCTGCTGCTGTCAGTCACATCCATTGAGGAGGGAACCGGGGTGAGGCAAAACCCCATTCTTTGTGTCTTATGGATACACAGAGCAGCGCTCAAGAGTGAGCATGCATGAGTGCCCCCATAGCAAGCAGCCTACTATGGGGGCAATTGGCAAGGGGAAGGAGCCCAGAGTGCTGGTAGGGGACCTGAGAAGATGAGGATCAAGGCTGCTCCATGCAAAACTCTTTTCACAGAGAAGGTAAGTATAAATTTTTTTTTTTTTAAATTAAGCCTTTAATACAGCATTTTGTATAATAAAATACAGGCCATGCAGCAGATTTAGGGAATGAACACATTTCATAATTTCATTTTTGTGGACTAGATTTTTAATTTAGCCCCAGTAAAAGCCCTAAAACATATTTCTAAACAGCTCATGTTTAAAGCTGAACTTCAGCCTTACCTTCATGAATGCAAAAATAAAATAAAAGCAGATTCTAATGTCTACATTTTTTTTTACCTTAGTATATGCTCTGCATTAAGATAAAAACTCACTACAATCTTTCCCACCCTCTGTCCTTAAACACGTACCTGACTCCTCTCACCAATCTAGCTCTGTCCTAGCTTCAGCATCGCTCTCCTCACTTACTGGTCTCATAGGAGACACTCCTCCTGCTGTCAGTCAAGCTCATGTGATGAGGAACCAGGGGAATGATTTACCCACGCTGTGTGTGTCTATGGATGCACAGAGCCTTGATCTAGAATGTGCACACAAGTGCCCCCATAGCACACAGCTTGCTGAGGGGGCACTCAGGGAAGAAGGAGTGGACCGTGCTGGCAGGGGACCACCAAAGAAGAGGTAAGGGATCGCTCTGTGCAATATCACTGAACAGAGCAAGTAAGTATAACCTTTTTATTTTAAGGAAATTGGCCTTTAATATCACTTTAAACTTCAAATGATTCTAAAGCCAAAGTTTTTTTTTTTTTTTTTTAAAATAAAAAGAGGTCAGTAAGCTGTGTGCTACAGGGGCACCCATGTGGGTGCACTCCTGAGTCAGGCAGTGTGCATTCATAGACACACACAGCACAGCTCAGCCATGTCCTCCTGCTCCAACCTCACAGAATTTGACTCACAGCAGCAGGAGCCTATGGGAAAGAAGAGATAGTGGAATGTTTTTTACCTTAATGCAGGGAATGCATTAAAATAAAAAATATTTTGCCTTTTGAACTACTTTCAGCTTTAGGACCCTTTCACACTGATCAGTTTTTTTGTGATGTGCTTTTTGGTGTTTAAAAAGCACAACAGAAATGCGTGAAAAATGTATCCATTTAAATCCTATGGAACTCTTCATACAAATGCACGGGGGGTGTGGTGCATTTTTAAAAGTCCTGCATTCTGCTTTTTTGGTGCATGTATAAAAAGTGCACCTCTCCATAGAGAGAATTGAAAACGCATCTAAAACGCACTACGGATACCTTTTTTGGTGTGCTTTTTGAGTCTCATGTCCATCCTTCAAAGGTGCACGCAGGGAGTCAGGGAAGCAGAAAACGTACCAAAAGCGCATTAAAACCACATGTGTGTTTTTTTACCGCAATTCTTTTTTAATGTGAAGGGGTCTTTAATGTGGAACTGTGTTTTGCCCAGTAAGATCATTTTCTAGTGTCAGCTGACTTCATGTTCACTTTACTGTTTGAAGAATAGAATTGTTGCCACTGGTAAGTCTTCTTTAGGTAAAAGTGAACCTTGCAATACAAGCATGGTTTGCTTATTTACTTTAGACTTTCCTATGCCAAAATTCTGCATTAAATTAGGAAGAAAAAATTTTAAATCTGTAGGGAAAAAAGTTAATAAACCTTACCCCTAGTTTCTGTACCACAGGTGGTGATGTTACGCTTTGTCCAACAAGACCTGGGAAATGGCGAGAAGCCTGAATCTCACAAGAAGATGGGTCCAGCGCAGTGCATTAGCGTCTGAGCTTTGGACGTCTCTGCATTTCCCATTATCTTGCTGGCAGGAGTGTGAGAACACCCTCGTCTAGACCCTGGAAGCTGCTGAACAAATGTAATGAATGCCTTCTCATGATGTGAACTGGACCATTAGAATTAGTATGTTTATTTACTGATTAATCTCACCTGATCACGGAATGATGATTGCTTCTACATGCTACATCTGTGGTTTACACTTTTTTTAGTGATAAATTACAATGAAATTAGGGGTTTTTTTATTTTAAAATTTCAAACTTTATTCAGTGAAGTGAATGGCCTCAGGTGATACACGGAGATGAAACACATCCTCCTACATAAGTTGTATCGGCTTATCTGTATTCTTCTTTACACTACATCCGTCCAAAGTACCGAATGTATACAGCTTGTCTGAGCTTCCAAAAAGCCAGGGGTGGACAGCTGAAATCGCATACTGAGGAGCTCAGTGAGGAGAGCTCTGGGAGCTGATTGGAGGGACGGGACACACCCCTCCTCCACACAGTTCACAGGAACAGAACTGAGGCTGTCAGTCTGCTGGAGGTCCCTCCCCGTCACCATTTTTCTTTCGTTGTCAGGAAAACTTGTCAGAAGTGACTCATGCAGATAGCAGAGGAACGAAGCAGCAGACAGAAATGACACTTGGTGCTCCTCATAGAGACAAGCACAAAGTATAAAAGGATATGTTTTGTTCATATTTCATGCCTCATGTTTACAACCACTTTAAAGTCCCTCAATCAAATGTTTGCAAATGTCAGGTCATGAACTTCAGTTTTGTCAGTTGGTGTGTGTCAGTGTAGCTGTGTTTCTATTTTTGTTGTTCGTGATTGTTGCGTTGTGGTTTCTTTCTGGTGTGTGTAAGATTTCAGTTCCTCATTTATTCTTAAATCTGATGAAGTGATGTTGTCACAGACAACATGAGGTGCAAAATGTACTGATCAGCTGTCTGACACTGTACTTATTCCCTGAAATCAGGACAGAACATTTCGACAGTTGGCAGACAAGAGAACTTAATTTTCATTGAAAGTGTTTGTATACCGCTTTGTATACTTTTTAGGTTTTCTAATTTATTTCTAAATATAAAAATGAATAATCATTCTTTTTCCACGACAAGTTTTTGTTGCAACATTAAGCCTGTGCAACAAAATTAATGCTTTAGTTAAAAAAAAAAAAAAAGTCTGTTGTTTATGGTGCTGAGTAGCTAAAGCTCAAATTTCATGCTAACCAACCATCCTTTTCTGTTCTGCAAGGTGCAATATCCAGTTTCAGTTAAAGGGAAACAGTACTCAAAGGGAAAGGCTACAGCTGAGGTCTCTTCAAAATCCAGATTGTTCAGCAAAATTTTTTTACTGTAGTTCTAACTTGCATCAAAAAACCTAAAAAAAAAATTAACCAAAACCCATAGTAGTTTCCCATTGAGATACAATTTCTGTCATCCATCCATGAACTACAGTACAGCCATCCTGTCAGATTTTTTTGTCATGTGATCACTGATGGCCAATAATCATTGTGTTATGCCAGTCTGGAAGGCTTCCCACCAGCAGAACACAATAGCACTGCGGGAGCGATTCCCTCATCAACACTGACTGTGTAGATGGGGGAATCAAGCAATTTTCTTTCCTTCCACCATAGAAAAATTGCATAATCTATGGGCTGCTTAACTAATGAGCCCTGCTGCAAGGTAGAATTTTACTTTCAGCTTTAAAGGAATCCTGTGCTGCATAAATACAGAGGGCTACCTTTTCAGACCTCTGCTCCTGAAAATGCTAGTTACCTGGCTGTTTCCTTGATCCTGTGGATTAAACTTTGAGTTGCCAATCACAAATCCAGACTTTGCTGGCTACATGCCTGCCTTGGGTCTGTGACTATATTGAAGCAAGGCAAACAGTTTGCAAAGAAGGTATGCAATGACAGTCTACTTAATAATTACAATGTAGGTTTAAGTTAAGAACCCAGTCCTCTATAAAACAGTGTGTGTGAGTGATTTGCATCCTGTCTTACCAGAGGAACCAAACACAATGGATGTATATTCAGAACCTGCTGTGATAGCGCCTAGAAAAGGGAATAGTCTGCCAAGTGTTACCAGCAGGACAGGAGGAATGGAGTGAGGCGCTAAGATGAATAAAGACGAAGAGGTCCCCAGGTTACATTTCTGAACCTCAAGCTTTTCCAGCTAATCGTGCATCTAAACAGAAGATTACATGACCCACCCTTTTTTATATATATATATATATATATATATATATTTATATATATACACATACACACACACAGGTGAAACTCAAAAAATTAGAATATCGTGCAAAAGTTCATTTATTTCAGTAATGCAACTTAAAAGGTGAAACTAATATATGAGACTCATTACATGCAAAGCAAGATAGTTCAAGCTGTGATTTGTCATAATTGTGATGATTATGGCTTACAGCTCATGAAAACCCCAAATCCACAATCTCAGAAAATTAGAATATTACATGCAATCAATAAAACAAGGATTGTACATAGAACAATATCGGACCTCTGAAAAGTATAAGCATGCATATGTACTCAGTACTTGGTTTGGGCCCTTTTTGCAGCAATTACTGCCTCAATGCGGCGTGGTATGGAAGCTATCAGCCTGCGGCACTGCTGAGGTGTTATAGAAGACCAGGATGCTTCAATAGCGGCCTGCAGCTCTTCTGCATTGTTTGGTCTCATGTTTCTCATCTTTCTCTTGGCAATGCCCCATAGATTCTCTATGGAGTTCAGGTCAGGCGAGTTTGCTGGCCAATCAAGCACAGTAATCCCACGGTCATTGAACCAGGTTTTGGTGCTTTTGGCAGTGTGGGCAGGTGCCAAGTCCTGCTGGAAAATGAAGTCAGCATCCCTATAAAGCTTGTCTGCGGAAGGAAGCATGAAGTGCTCCAAAATCTCCTAGTAGACGACTGCGGCTTGACAAGAGGAATACGACATTTGAAGCCCGTGTCCAGGATCCGTATGTGTGTGGTGGCTCTTGATGCACTGACTCCAGCCTCAGTCCACTCCTTGTGAAAGTCCCCAACACTTTTGAATGGCCTTTTCCTGACAATCCTCTCCAGGCTGCGTTCATCCCTGCTGCTTGTGCACCTTTTTCTTCCACGCTTTTCCCTTCCACATAACTTTCTATTAATGTGCTTTGATACAGCACTTTGGGAACATCCAACTTCTTTTGCAATTGCCTTTTTGAGACTTTTCCTCCTTATGGAGGGTGTCAGTGATGGTTTTCTGCACAACTGTCAGGTCAGCAGTCTTTCCCATGATTGTGATTCCTACTGAACCAGACTGAGAGACCATTTAAAGGCTCAGGAACCCTTTGCAGGTGTTGTGGCTTAATGAGCTGATTAGAGTGGGACACTTTGAGCCGAGAATATTGCACCTTTTCACAGTATTTAAATTTTCTGAGATTGTGGATTTGGGGTTTTCGTGAGCTGTAAGCCATAATCATCACAATGATGACAAATCACGGCTTGAACTATCTTGCTTTGCATGTAATGAGTCTATCTCATATATTAGTTTCACCTTTTAAGTCGCATTACTGAAATAAATGAACTTTTGCACGATAGTCTAATCTATATATATATTTATTATGCAGCTTATTGCAATACTCTAATGACCATTTTAGGAAATCCCAACAAAGCAAGTGTACCCATGTCCTGTTGTTCCCTGCAATTGTCACCGCCTCACTACGGTGTGTTCAAAATCTACCTTTACAAAACATAACCCACACCAGGGATTTTAGCTGTAAAATCAACTGCACAAGCATTGCACTTTTGGTAGCGGTAATACAAAATCTAAAAACTACATTTTGAACAACAAAAGGCTTCTTTTTCAAGTGTGTGTGTGTGTGTGTGTATAATATAATTATATATATATTATTTTTTTTAAAGGCTGCAGCACTCCAATTCTTTTTCTTCCTTTTTTTTTTTTTTAACTGAATAATATTCATAATAAATATAGAATTAAAGTCTATGTTCAAGCAAGCTTTTGCACAGCAAATCAAATAATCTCAACATTATTTGCTACAAAAGGAGCCAGATGCTCAGCAATTGGTCAATAGTCAGAACATTGAACACGCATGCATAGACTGAGTTCCAGAGATAGGGCTAGGGCTATGCATATTTGTTCGATATTGTGACTAATGATCAATTGCTAAGTATCTGGCTGAGATTCTGTGATTTCAATAGGTAGTATTCCCAGCCTGAGGAAGGACATGATGTTCAAAAACTTGCCTGATGATGAAACACTGATTGTGATTTGTCCGAATATTATATATATTATATAAATTGGACTGTGGGGTGGGTCTTGCTGCTTGTGCACCTGAACAATTTATGTGTGCCGTTCCCTGAGTATTGAAATTGGATTATAAACACACACACACTTATTTTACAGCATTTCTTCACACATGCCTACAACTTTTACACAGATATATATAAAAAAAAAATTTGTGCACAGGGCTAGTTCTAAGGTGGACAAATGTTACTTTGAGGAGATTTCCTCTTATTTCCTGTTACAGCTTCTCTACAGGAGATGAGAGAAAATCTACCATTGGGACACAGACAGCAATTAGCAACCTGATAGGGATTCTAACCCTTCCCCACTCTATCCAAAACTACTTAGATGGAAAGCCATGTGTCTGTTTGGAAATGTTGCCCCCCCCCCCCCCCCCCCCATTCTCCTATATGACCTTTCATCTCTGTTCCTGAACCTTTACATGTTTATTGATACTCATTATTAAAGATGAACTACACTGCATCTGAGCACCACAAACTAAAAACATTTTCTAATTTATTTTAAAATATTCAGAGCAAAGACCCCCCATCCATCCATGCCTCCATGCTTTATTTTGCTGAGAAACGACTTTGAAAATAACTCCCTAGTTAGCATTTTTGGCTGTGGCCATTTTGAGTAAGGGCAGATGATTTACGTAGAATTTATTTCCTGGAGTCCCCCTACCCTTAGCTCAGGCACTCAGGCAAGAGTGTGTGCTTAGCTAAAAAAAAAGCCCTTCCTCCCCTCCTGGAGACTCCTGGGATGTATGACATCATTACGGTCTAGGCCAGAAACCAGGAGGTACCTGAAGAAATGTAAAAGAATAAAATAAGTAAATACGATATACATTCCTATCTATTTACTAATGCTAGCCACATAAGAATTCAAATTGTTGATTGAGAGAGTGAAGTTCAGCTTTAAAGGTGTTTAGAAACTGTAATGAATGTTTATTAACCTATTAGGTTACACCTAAGAAGACTGGGATTTACAAATGTATGTGAAAACATATTTATGGTCTGGTCCCACCAGGGGATTTCTCAGGGTAAAGGTTTTTCAGCACACAGCTGACTTCCTGTCTGTTTTCCTGTCTTGTATACTAGTTTTGCAGATATATGAAATGGCAACTGTTTGATTTTAATGTCAGTATTGTCACAGGTGGATAAAAACTTAATCTTGTTTTATTAATATAGAATTCGGTAAGTGGTTGTATGAATCGTTCTATGGTATTAAATAATGTTTTTTTGTTTTTTTGCAGTGTGGCGCTATATTGGTGCAATATTTGCCGTTTTCTTCTTGGTTATCCAACTCACGTTACTTGTGGAATTTGCTCATAAATGGAATAACAATTGGTATGTCAGTGCCTTGAATATAAAAATATTAAATATAGTAAAGGATGACAGAGCACTGTGATTCATAGTGGCCAATTTGACGTTAGTTCAGGTGACCATAGTAGATCTGAATTAATCCAGTTTGAACAATACCTTAGTAAGAAAGCTCACTGATATCAGTTTGAGGAACAGCTGAAGCCTCAGTACTCTTAGGCTACGTTCACACTAGCGTTGTGTGCAGGCGGCAGAGAGGTGTTTGGGAAGCGTTTTTACTGCTTCCCAAACGCCTCTGCCAATTCTGCACATTACAGCACATGGTGCTGTTTTAACGGGAGCGTTTGCGTTGCGTCGCGGCAAAACAGACGCCTCTGGTCGAGTCAGGAGGCGTTGAAGCCTCCTATTCTCGTCTATGGTACCGCTCCGCAAACGCCCGGCCAGCATTTGCGGTGCGGTTGCGACGCGGTTTCGGGGCGTTTGCGGAGCGGTAACACCACTCAAACTGCATTATAGGCGTTTGTGGGGCGTTATTAGCGCTCGGCAAATGCCTAGCAACTGCAGCTAAACCGCGCATGAGGAGTTTGCTGAGCGTTTGCCGAGCGTTAAAAAACGCTCCGCAAACGCCGGACCAACGCTTGCCAAACGCTATAGGGGCGTTTGGCAAGCGTTGGTAAAACAGCCAAGTGTGAACGAGCCCTAAATGTACTCCTAATTCATGTACTTGTAACAGCAGATATGTGATATACCTTCTCTGCTGGCCTGATATAGAGACTGCATTGCCACTCAACATTCAGATCAAACTGGTATTCCAGCTATTACTTTCAGCTGCTGGTTTGAACATGATTGGTTTGCTTGGAAGAAACAAACAACCAGTTTTCAGAGATTTCAGTAAATTAATGGATTTTACCAAATGATTAAATTATATCTATAACCAAAATGGTTTCTTATACTTTGGGCTGCAGTAAGGACTTGGTAAAATCATTGTCTGTGTCGCATACGGGAGCTTGCCTTTCAATGTCTGTCCCAGAAACACAATAGAAACCAAGAAGAAATCTCACCAAAGCGAGTAGAAATCCCCACTAATGCCCTGTACACACAATGAGAATATCGGACGAACGATTGGCCGTTTTTTTTTTCGTCTGCTAGTCTTACATCAAAAGTGAAAAGGTTACTAAAGATATGAAAATTCCCCTATGAAAGAAAAGAATTTCGAAAGTGATGTCATGTATTGCGTTGTATTTGTATTGTATTTTCAGACGACTACTGTACTGATTAAACGAAAATCGTACGATCTGGTATTGTATGAGAAAAATTTTTGTGCTTGTCCCTTCAGATATTGTCATACGAATTGTCGTGATCGGCTCTCAAAAGCTGTGTACTAGCGATCCGATTTTCGGACGTTCGGTCCTTGTACGAAAAGTTTTGTATGATTTTCTTATAGTGTGTACGGGGCATTAGGCATCATGCACACTGAACATGTGTGTGGGGGGGGGGGGGGGGGGGGGTGTCTGTCGGTTTTTTGTTTTTAATTTTTTTTTTTTTTTCTGCCTCTAAATGCTCCTGCATGTTAACCTATGTATCCATGCACACCTAGGTGTTTGGAGGAAAAAAGAACCAAAACACTGCCAGTGTGTCCAGGAGCAGCAGCGTTTTGGCAGAAGAAAATGCTTGTCACGTGTAAACGCATCTAAACACGCGTGTTTAGTGCTTGAGCGTTAATTCATTTCAATACTTAACATCCAAGTGCTTGACTAGCGTAAATGTGTTACACTGTTTTACTGGTGTCAATATGTGACAGGTGACAGCTGAAATATGCATCTGTAGAAAAGTTTCTAAATTCTGGAATTTTCAGGATAATATTTTTTTTGTTGGTATACAGTTTTTTTTTTTACAAAAACAGTATTTTATTGGAAAAGGAAGTATAAAACATTATAACAAGTACATAATACAAACATTTGACATGAAAGCTATGATACAGAACAAATGAGTAGAAACAATATATTGCACAACATCCAATGTAGGAGAAGAGGAAGGGAGGAGCAAAATGATCTGCACACAGTAATCATGAAAATCAGTCCAATATTGCCACAATAGAAGCAGTGTGAGGAGAGAACCCAGAGGTGACATGAGCAGAAACCAGATATCCAGAAAAATAGAAAAGGGGAAAAAAAAGGGGGGGGGGGGGGGGGGAAATGGACAGAAAGGGGGGGGGGGGAAAGAGCACAAGAAAGAGGGAAAAGGGGGGAAAAGAAGGGCGATGCTACCATAAGTCCCCACTCCAAAATCCCAGTAGAGAATTTGGTATACAGTTTAAATGAAAGGAATCAGGCATGAGATGCTTTATTCAGATTCGTATTTCCATTGGTCTAATTGTGGTGTTTTCTATTGTCCTCTGTCAGGCACTCAGGAACGGCACATAATAAACTTTGGTATGGGGCATTGGCGCTGGGCATTCTGTTACTGTACACCATTGCTGTGGGAGCCCTTGGCCTACTGTCATGGTTCTACACCCATCCTGAGCATTGTCTCCTCAACAAAATCCTGCTGGGCGTCAATGGTGGCCTTTGCTTACTTTTGACACTTGTGTCCATATCACCATGTGTACTTAAACGTAAGTATTACTTGGCTAAGCAAACCCTTTGTGTACTATTCTGGGGTGCATATTAAGGTGATTCACACATTAAAATCTGATTCTACAATCCCCATTAGGGTGACCACAAACTTCTAAATCCAATTTGCATTATCTGTACAATCTCCATTACCAACAACTATGTAGTGTGAGTCCATGCAAGTTACATCACATCAGGTAATTTCTCACACTACATAGTTGGTAAATCTAAAGGAAATTATATTGTCTAATTGTACTGGTTATGGTTAACTTGAGGGAATAAATGATCCTAAAAACCTCTCTCTCATTCCACTATAATCCAAGAGAATGTAAACCCATCCACCTTCTGTATAGTTTCTCTATAGACTAAGACGGGCCATACAGGTTGCTACAGCCACAGGTTGAAGGAAAGAACCACACTCGATTCCCCCATCAATACAGTCAATGTGGATGGTGGAATCCCTTCTGCAGCACTATTGTGTTCTGTGGGCGGGGAGCACAGGGAGCCTTCCTCACTGGTAGAGTACAATGGTCACAGCAGGCGGCCATAGCTGCCAGCAGTGATCAAGTGAAAAAAACTTGACTTCAGTACAATCAGCCTGCCCATGGATGGATCAAAATTCATCCAGTTCAGCCGGTCAAATTTTTGATCCATCTATGGCCAGATTAACCTCCCTGACGGTATTCCCGAATGTAGCTCAGGGGTAAAGTTTCAGTACCAAAAGCGGTAACCCCGAGCTACACTCGGGCTCACCATGTGGTGCTGCTCTGGTATCTGTTCTTCACTTACCTTGTCCTGCGCTCCCGCAATGTCCCTCCTGCAGTGTCCCTGGCAGTGTAATCCGGCGGATGCCGGCATCTGTCATCTGGGTTCCGTCCCCTGCGAGCATCGGGACGTACGGGGGACGGAACTGGCGGGAAATTTGAAAATGACAAAAAGTGACATCATTATTATTATACAGTATTTATTATGCGCCCATAGTTTGCTCAGTGCTGTACATTACAAAGGGGGAGAGAACATGTGACAGAACAATACCAATACAATGCAAAACATGACATTCACTAAATACACTAAAATCACATAGTAAAACATTGCTGTATCAAACATTGCTGTATCAAACATTGCTCTATTTCAAATTTCAGTGTTTTTGGTTTGATTATATTATTGAATTAAATTTATTATTATATTATTTTTTATGATTATTTATTAAATTATAATTTATGATTTCGTGTTTCAAATTTTATCCTACCCGGGATGTTTACTAGACTCTTGTTCAGACAGATTTCAGTGAGTTATTCCTAAAAATTACAGGCCTACAATAAAAAAAATACATATTTCCATGCAAAAAATGTACCGCTTTGAGCACAGAAATATGGACATAATCAGATCGCTAGGGAGCTTAAAGAGGGCTGCATAGATCTCAGTCTGATTTACCAACAACTAGTGCAATCGCCTACCTAAGCAAACTGTTCAATGTATCTGATTAGGTAGTAACCCACATTAAATACTGTAGCTGTTGGTAAATCTAGGAGAATGAGCAGTCTAGTTGTAACATGTGCGGCCACCTTTTGGATTTAGCAACAACTATGTAGTTTGAGGTCCAACCTAACCAGATATAAATTGATTGGATGGTTTAGGCAGGTATTTGCATTACATGGTGGTTTGTAAATTTTACACTTGCTACATACTTTACAATGATTTGATTGTCAGTTACCTTCAGATATTGCAGATAATATGACTGCATGACTTGGTTCAAACTAAATGTATTTTTAAGGTAACCCTCATATTACATAATTTTATATAGATTGTATAATGATTGTACAATTAGATCGTAATGCCATGCTTCAGGGGGATTGCCACAGTGATTGTACAGTAAAATTGTCATGTGTGTGGTCAGCTTTAGAGTCTGTATATTCTAAGTCAGATTTAAATTAGCATAGAATAGCAGCCTCCAGTGAGTACACATGAATACTGGAGTTCCTGCATGTTACCTATGGTACCTATTACCTATGGAAACATAGCAACTGGGGAAGAAATCAGCCAAGGCTTTACCTGTGTTATAGGGGTCCTACTAACCTTTCGGGGTTTAGTCACACCATTAAACTTTTTACTTTTACACAAGAAACCACTGAGAACTGCTTAGTGCCAATAAAACACATTAAAGTGTACTGAGATGCATTTTCAAAATGCACAGATGTGAATTCTTAACTCTTGCAATCAGTAGCACCCCTTGGTTACCATATTTCAGTTTTATTTCCTTGTATAATATAACATGCTATCTATAAAAAAAGACTGGTTTTCTTTGTTATGGAAAAGCCTTAGTTTTGGTATTCCTACTTATTGATACATATCTTACAATTTTTCTTTTTTTATTCATTATAAGAAAACCCACAGTCTGGATTGCTGCAGTCAGGTATGATCAGCTGCTATGTGATGTACCTGACCTTCTCTTCTTTGTCCAACAAGCCGCCAGAGACAAGTAAGTGTTCCATCAGGTCTTCAATCATACAACTTTCTGCTAGATTTTCATCTACACTGGGCAGGGAGCGTTGGGAATTTTTGTACACTGGCTTTGGAAATTTTTGGACAGTTACACAATTTTCATGATTTTGAGTTTGTCTGCTTCTATAATGGATTGGAAATAAAGCGATCAAGATTTGATTGGAGTGTGGACTAAACTTTAGTTAAAAAGAGTATAAAGGATATATTGTATGGGCCAAATTGCTTATACCTAGTCTCATCTTCAGAGGCTCAAATGTAATTTGGCAAACTAACATAATCAAAAATATGATTGTTTTTGATACTTTGTTGAGAATTCTTAGCAGTCAACTGCTGCCTGAGGTCTAGAACAGGGGTCCCCAAACTTTCAAAACAAAGGGCCAAATTACTGTCCTTCAGACTTTAGGGGTGCTGAACTGTGGCCATTTGGAGTAGTAAAGGTGGGAAACAACACTGACACCATCTTTGGTGGAAAGAATTGTGCCCCATCATTGTTGGTGTCATTGGGAGGAATTGTGCCCCATCATTGATGTCAGTGGGCCCCATTGTTGTCAGTGGGAGGAACTGTGCCCCTTCATTGGTGTTTCTGGGGGGCATTATGCCCCATTGTTGGTATCAGTGGATGAAATAGTACTCCAAAGGCTGGATAAAAGCAAGCAAATGGCTACAGTTTGGAGACCACTGGTCTAGAACATGGGCATCACCAAATACTGGGTGTTCTTCGAACTGATGCTTTGCCAGGCATTTACTGTATATATTTCTATTAAGCATCTTTCATAATTGCAGTACTGCTTGGTGCCCTCTGAAAACCTATCTACAGTGGATCACTTTTCATACGGCAGTATAGCAGCAGCTGACAAGCATTCAGGAGGAGCTACTGCCACCTTTTTGAGCGTGCGTTTTTGTTTTGGTTTTTTTTTGTTTTTCTTTTCTTTTTTTTTCAATTGTCAAAGGGCAGTGTTCTGCTCATGTCCATGTCCACAGCGCTGTCCAGCTGTATTATTACAATTCACGTTGGGGGGGGGGGGGGGGACCACAGCTAAGTGGCCTGTTTTTACCTAAGGGCTCTTCCACACAGATGTTGAAAATTGACACCTATCAGTGCCACTTAAAATTGTTAACTTAGGGAGCAGATGGAAGTGTACACACTGCCGTGGTAAAGCTCATTCACAATAGCAGTTGGGAAATGGTAAAACCCCACCTTTTGAGCTGTGTTTTTACTGACCCCCAAGCGCTCCCCCTTTAGCTGCAGAGGCAGTGCTCCAGGGTGCACACATTCCGAAGCAGGAATTGTACTTTGTCACTTTTGGAGGGTGCTACTTCCTACTGAACACAACTTATTCAGGTGAATAGAGCTGCTCTGCAACTGCCCCACAACAGTATGCAATGCAGTGTTTTTGGTGCCCTAGTGTGAGATTCAAGGCGTTAAAGCAGGTGGTGTGGAGACCTTACATAACTTCCTCACTGCCTGTCAAATGCTCTCTGAAGGCAAAATTTGGGAGCATTAATTGTGCCCATTTAATCGACATGAATGGGACTGTATGCACAGGGATGCACTGAACACCCGTGCATCCTTGTGCAGGTAAATACATCCGTTGCACTAGTGTATGCAATAGTACGCTTTTGTGAACGAGGTCGTAGACAGTTGAAGCTTTATTGAAAGTCTTTTCATTTTTGAACTTCTCGTTGCTTTTTATTTTGTAGGCAGTGGTCACCTGGACAAATCTTCTTAGTGGGGGCACAGACAGCAATGAAAATCTGTCAAGGGCTCTAATCCTTCTATGATAAATATAGATGCAGCGCTAAGACAAAATATCAGGGTATGTCACTATAACACACAATAAGCAAGAGACATGTATAAATAAGATCAGATAAACGGTAAATGGATATCAAGTGACAAAGTGCAAATAAATGTCCACAGTAAAGTGCTACTGAGGTGACAATTGTGAGCACACAATGGTGCTGATTTATCTGTATATTGATCTATATTGTATAAGTGGCCACAAATTGTAAACAGTGAAGATCCAGAATGGTCTCAGGTAAGTGCTCCAAACAAATAATCATCCAGGTGATGTGCCGTGAATATGTTAAGATTACGCACTCAGCAGATGCGTAATCAAAGTATGCATTTGTATGTATATTAGCCGGAGGTCCCCTTAAGGATATGAACAGCCAGGTCTGGTCAGAGAGCTCCCTTCCCCTGGGTCATCTGCCGCCCCTCAGCCGTCCTCCAGAATGGGCTCTGTGATTATATCAGCTTGTGCTGCTACTAGAAAGAAGCTGGGGGCTGAGCTGGGAAGCAGAAAGTTCAGGGTCTGGAGGAGGACCAGAGGAGGGCTGAAGTCAGCTGCTAGAGTTTTCTAAATGCTGAGACCAGGGGAGGATGAGACAAGAGGGTGCTGTGGTTGCACAGAGAGGTGCAGGATCTGTAGAAGAATTTCTGTTTTCAACTTTGTTGCCGACTGCTGAGATGAGTGGGTGCAGAAATGAGCCTCTCCACAGTCGTACAAAGAAGTGCAGGATCTGGCAGAGGAGGTCTGAGTTCAGCCAGCTGCTAGCACATCTGGTGAGTGCATAATCTCAACATATTCATGGCACATCACCTGGATGATTATTTGTTTGGAAGCACTTACCTGAGACCATTCTGGATCTTCACTATTTACAATTTGTGGACACTTATACAATATAGATCAATATACAGATAAATCAGCGCCGTTGTGTGCTCACAATTATCTCCTCGGTAGCACTTTATTGTGGACATTTATTTGCACTTTATTTGCACTTGTCACTTGATATCTATTTACAGTTTATTATCTGATCTTATTTATACATGTCTCTTGCTTATTGTGCGTTATAGTGACATACCCTGATATTTTGTCTTAGCGCTGCACCTATATTTATCTGAGTACTTTGAAGGTTGTTTTTGGTTGCCTTTTCTGGTGCAATAGCGGCTTACGGTTTTAGTGCTCCCTTTCTTCTATTTTTAGATCTAATCCTTCTATACTTTATTCAATAACTAATAAAACATTTATTTTTGATACAGTTTATTAATGTCTGGGTTTTTAAGCTTTGGTTCGATCGATTGAATCCATCAGCCATTTTCCTTTTAAAATAGCGAAGGGCATTGGTTCATTAGCTTTGTGTAAAAAAAAAAAAAAAAAAAAAATAGAGAGTTTATTGCTTCAATCAAGACAAGTAAAATATGGAACGGTTTTATGACGTTTTTACAATCAGTATGTCCTGTTGGGAGAATTTCCAGTAACCCACACATATATATATATTTTTTTTTTTTTCTGAAGTTCTGGATGAGTCTGGGAAGAACATAACAATCTGTGTGCCCCACTTTGGTACTGGTATAAACCAAGATGAGCGGCTAGTCTCAGTGCTGGGTGCTGTCATCATGCTTGGCTGCATTTTGTATTCCTGGTGAGTAGTTGTGTTACAAGGTGATCTAGATGAATATATGCCTTGATATAGCATTGAAGTACTCTTTCATGTTTGATGTAGTCATTCTTCAATTGTTTTAAAAACAGGCAGATGTTTCTCCATGTACTTTGGTGGAGAGTGTCTATCTGTAATGTCTGTGGGCCCCACCTGACACTGACAGCAGTGTGCACACAGTATTTTAGATCTCCATAGAATTTTGACAAATTATTACCCACTGAGAAATTTTTCAACAAGTTGGAATAACTCCCTGTATGATAACTAGGATCCTCAACGGCCCGTGACACTTGTCACTGCTAGGTGCTATACAGAAACATCTCAGTAATCGCAGGTGGTAACCTCTTGCTTTTACTGAGCTATCCATGGCTATCTGTATTGACATTTATGGAGTGAATTCTAAAGAACAGGCTGGCATGTACAAAATCTCACTCCATTTTGGATGTACAGTTACGGACACTATACACTTACTGGACACTTTGGTAGCTACACCTTGCTAGTGCCAAGAAAATATCTCCCACACCATTTCACCACCACCAACCTGAACTGTTGCTACAAGACATGATGGATCCATACTTTTATGTTTACGCTAAATTCTGACCCAACCACCTGTATGTTGCAGAAACCAGTCTCCTCTGACATCAACAAGACATTTTCGTCCAAACAACTGCCACTCACTGGATATTTTTCTCTTTTTCTGACCATTCTCTGTAAACCCTAGAGATGGTCAAGTGTGAAAATCCCAGTAGATCAGCAGGCCAGCCTGTCTGGCACCAGCAACCATGCCACGTTCAAAATCACTTAAATCCCCTTTCTTCCCCATTCTGATGCTCAGTTTGAACTTCAGCAAGTCGTCTTCACCACATCTAGATGCCTAAATGCGTTGCTTGCCATGTAATTGGCTGATTACTAATTTGTGTTACCAAGCAATTGAACAGGTGTCCCTAATAAAGTGACCGATGAGTGTATACAAATTGTAAGAAAACTAATCATTAACACAGTCATAGTTACTACTTAATTTGTGTTAGGGGGTTTGACAGACAGGTTAGTTGTTACTAGTATCCCTCTTCCTTCCTTCCTTTCTGTCTTCCTTCATTTCTTTCCTTTTTTTTTCCCCCCTTTTTTCCCTTCCTTCATTTCTTCCTTTTTTCCCCTTTCTTCATTTCTTCCTTTTTTCCCCTGCCTTCATTCTTTTTCCTTTTTTTACCCTTCCTTCATTTTTTCCTTTTTTTTGCCTTCCTTCATTTTTTTCCTTTTTTTCCCCTTTGTTCATTTCTTCCTCCTTTTTTTTTTTCCCTGTGTTTTTTTTTTTTTTCTTTCTTTTTTCCCTTTCTTTGTTCCTTTTTTCCCTTTCTTTGTTTCTTCCTTTTTTTTCCCTTTCTTCGTTTCTTCCTTTTTCTTCCCTTTCTTCATTTTTCTTCCTTCATTACTTCCTCCCCCCTCCCCCCTTTCATTCACTTCTTCTTTTCCTTCCCCCCCCCCTTCATTTCCCCCCCCTCATTTTCCCCCCCCTCCTTCATTTCTTCCCCCCCTTTCCTTCATTTCTTCCCCCCCTTCCTTCATTTCTTCCCCCCCTTCCTTCATTTCTTCCTCTTTTCCTTCCTCTTTTCCTTTTCCTGTCCTTTATTTTCCTTTCCTTTTATATTGTGTAATTATACTTATTTATGTTGCAGTCTTACCTCAACCACACGTTCAAGTTGGGATGCTTTGAGGGGAAGATACGCCCCACCAGGGGAAGAGGTAATTTCTTACAGTTTGCATAATATTAATGAGTCTATATTTCAGAAGTCAGAAATATTTCTATGCATGCATTGTATATATATTTTAAGAACGTCTTCTGAATCCTAGGACATTACATTCTGCCTAGCGCAGCTTGGAGGATTCCCATCTATGGGTAGCTTTAATCTGTAGACTGCATTCTAATACTTTAAAAAGGAACTGCATGAAGTGTTAAGCCGGCCATACATTGATTGAAATTTTTCTGGTTCAGTAGGGACTGGCTGAATTTCAATTCATGTATGGGTACGCTGGTTGTACAAATGTCAATCTACCGATCACCTTCTGTGAAACCAGCCTATCGGATAAACTCTGCTTGATCAGCGTATTCTGATGGCGGGAAGACTTCCCTGCTGTCAGAATACAATAGCTCAGCGGGAGTGATTCCCCCTTCCACCTTGAATTTGTGGATGGAGGAATCGGGTAAGTTTTTTTTTTTTTTTTTCCTTCAACCCGCTGGTTGAAAGAAAAAACTGTATAATTTTATGGACTGCGTTTGCCTTAAAGATCATTCAGCCAGATAGTAGGTTCCCTTTTCGTCAGACCTGGATTGATATTTCTTGCTCCTTGAGTGTACACTATGCTGTCCCATTTCTGTCCAGACTACCTTGTATCATAGGTCATAGCCACACAAAGCACAGCGAGGCAGGAAATGAAGGGGCTAAAAGAGACAACTTACTTGCTCTGCCACAATGCACCTTGAACCAATGAATAGAAGAGTAGGAGAACTATCATTCTGTTCTGCGAACAGTTTGGTCATAAACATACGGACGCAAACTAGGTAAATTCTCAGTCTGCAAAAACTGTGCAGAAGGCACATTGAGGACCAAGCCAGAGAGTACTGGTAGGTGGGGCAGCAATCTGAATGTGTTAATAACTGTATCATACTGTATGGGTGACTGTGTGCTCATCTAGGCCACAGCCTATGTTGGTTATCCAGAAATCCAGCCATGCTTTTCCTGTAATCATAATGTAGTCATTAGAAAAAATTATACTTCACAAAACCTTCATGGACTGTTGTAATGTTTACAAGAACTAAAAGTAAATAGGCTGGACATGATGGATATAGATTCTTATTGGTCTACTACAGGAATGGAATGGCAAGCTGGCCCAATACAGGGTTTGTATGAAGAATGTACATACAGACACTCCATGAATAGGTGGAATGTATATTCTAAATCAGGCGGTCAGGCCAGTTTGCTTATGAAGGCAGCGGCTCCTCGTGGTAACTGGCACAGTGCCCCTTGTCAGAAGCACATTAGATCTGTCATACAATCTAATTACTGGTTACACTGCTTACTTGGGTATGACAGAAATACAAAATATTCCTACTCACATATTAAAGAGAAATGGCTGTGTTCTGAGATTTTGACATAACATTTTTCTGAAAGGATCATAATGTGACTAATTTATATTAGAAATAACACATTTTGACATTTTTTTGCTCTGAGCTGTGCGTGGAATTGATGCAGTGTTAGATGGTAAGACTAGATGTGAAATAAAAAAAGAATGATTGTGCTTATTTTTTGGTATAGGTTGCTCCTTTCTATTATTTATCTGTTGATTCATATGTACTTGGTGCATATATAACTGATGACGTGATACTTTCAGCAATAGATTACTGATGAATTTTTATATTTATGAAACTCTGTGAAGGCCTAGGCAAACGTTTTAGTTACAGAAACCAACCAGATTTTTCCTTTCATGGTCAAAATGGAACTAATACTGGTACTGGTTTCTGTGGGCCATGTGTTTTTCCACCAGACACCCTTTGTTTCATATCTGGTTCTCTTTACAGGTTGCACGTTGCTGCTTTTGCTTCGGCTCCAGCAGAGATGGTAAAAAATAAACTTATTTATGTTTTATTTTAATGTTTATACCTTTTTTATAGAATGGAAAGAGCACAGCTTTCCATATTTCAAGGTAATATTTTTGAGGTGACATATTTGTTATGCACTTCATGGAAGGGGGTGGTGTGCCCGACACATTACGGTTAAAAGCTAGTTCAGAAACACCACTTTAGCTTGTAGGTGCCCCTGGAATTATACTTAAAGCAGAAATTCATTTTCTATCGACATTCACTGTTTTTAATCATTATGCTGCTGTCATTAGTAAATAGGAAAGTATATGTTTTCTTGTTTAAAACTTTTTTTTTTTTTTTTTAACATTTCTTCAGTTACTTCCTGGTTTCCAGGCCTAGGCAAATACATCCCAGGAGTTTTCAGGAGGAGAGGAGGGGTTTCCCAGCTAAGCACCTCCTCTTTCCTGCATGCCTAGGCTTAGGGCAGATGGATTCCAGGAAGTAAATGCTACACAAATCATATGCCCCTACTCAAAATGGCCATGGCCAGAAATGCTAGAAGGGTGATTTTTCTGCAAAATAAAGCATGGATGAATGGGGGAAGTTTGCTATGAATTAAATAATGTTTTTGGTTGTGGTGCTCAGATACAGTGTAGTTCTGCTTTAAACTGGGCTTTATGCAAGCTACATTTTTGTGGTTTTAGTTTTGTATATCTGAGTTAAAACTGAAGACGGTTTTGATTTCTCTCGGTGACAGCCTCTTCCTTTTCTTTGTAATGCGTTTAAATAAAAATGAGGGTGGAGGGGGGATGGTTGCAGCTTTCACCAGCTCAGGAAAGCATAGACCGCAATAAAAACATTGTCAGAAGTTCTAATACTTCCCCACACTAATAAATGTTTTGTTTGTTTGTTTTTCTTTGTCCTATGTTCCTGTTGGAGAGAATTTTAATTTGATTTTATGCAATGGACAGGAATTAGAATTCACACTTTACATGAATTAGTAGGGCATGGTCCAGAATTGTCAAATCATGTTATTAATTCTAACTTGAATTTCAAGACTGTAGTTCCCTATCACTCAGGCAAGCTAAGCATGTAGTCTCTAGCCATCACTTCCTAATAGATAGTCTTTTTCTGCAGTACGTTATGAGATGTAAGAAAGGAAAATGCTCCCCTCCCCCCATTTGTAGGTAATGTAAATTTTACACAGAGTTAAGGTTTTTAACATATGATAAAATTACATCCGGAGTAGTTCTCTTGCATAGAGCAGCAATCCGTTTCTCCAGCTTTCTAAAGCTGGCCTTACACATGTAGATTTTCGGATGGGAATATTCGTATGAACATTCTTTAAACATTCGGGGAATGGACGAATGTCGTTTGAAAATTGTCTTTTGCTTTTTACATTAGAGTTTAAATTTATTGTAATTTCTGAATGATAACTACATACACTGGCCGAAAATTTGTTTGATCGAGAAAAGTTTTTCTTCCTGCTCGTTCGAATATTCCCATCACTGCGGTTGAAAACAAACATCGATTTGACCCCATTAACAATTAGAAAATCAAACAAATATTCTTGAAACTAAAATTCCCGTATGAAAATCTATATGTGTATGTCCAGCTTAAACTGCCCTCTGCACAGTTCTCCAATCAGCAGTGCTCAGACTCCCTGAGAAGCTGATGCTGATTGGAGCACTGTTCAGGAGATGTGTTGGACCACTGATCTTCCGGACCACTGAATTTTGTCTGAGAGCAGCTGTCCGGATCTCTGAGCTCTCATTACAAGAGTGCTTGATAACTGATTACTTGACAACTGATAAATTGATAATGATTACAGCGTGATAACATTACAAATAAAAAAGAAACATATTTTTTACTTATTATGCAACCTTTTGACTGCATACCTATAATAACATCGCTTCAATTGGGCTTTGATAAGTTCCCGGTTACCTTTAAAGGGTAAAAGTGGTTTGCAAATATTTTTTTTTAGCATACTTTTCAACATCATGGTCCTGCTTCACTTATGATAGAAGGGGTTTAAATATTACATTTCTGCCTGTTTCCAGATGGCCATGAAGGCCGAGTAGAAGTTCGAGGAGGACAAAAAGTGGCCTATGATGAAGAAGAGAAAGACTTTGTACAACTATGCCCGCTTCCACTTCATCTTTTTCCTAGGCACATTCTATATGATGATGACGATCACCAACTGGTTTCAGTGAGTGGCAGAGAAAATGTTTTTCTTCGTTAATTTAAATAATGTTATTCAAAGTGATTCTAAAAGCTTATTTTTTTTTAAGAAAAAATTACAAACATATCTATACTTACCTGCTGTGTGAAGTGGTTTTGCACAGAGCAGCCCGGATCCTCCTCTTCTCGGGTCCCTCGCCAGCACTCCTGGCCCCTCCCTTCTGTTGGGTGCCCCCACAGCAAGCAGCTTGCTATGGGAGCACCCGCTTCTCTGTGTGTCCATTCACACTGTCCCCCTCTGTGTTCTCATTGGCTCACTGGATGTGATTGACAGCGGTGAGAGCTGATGGCTCCCGCTTCTGTCTCAGCCAATGAGAAGAGGGAGTCCCGTGATAGCCGACACTCCAGTGACCACCGCTGGATCTAAAGGGGGCTTAGGTGAGTATTGGGGGGGCTAGGAGAGATGCTGCACAGAAGGTTTTTTACCTTTATGCATAGAATGCACGAAGATAAAAAAACCTTTAGCCTTTACAGCCACTTTAATGATTGTTTATGTAGTTTGGTGATTAATTTTAGTTAACATCTTCCTAAGGCACTTAAAGGAAATCTATGGTCAAGCATACACAATCATTTTACAACATTCGCAAACAATAGTTATGTTTGACAATCCAATATAATTTAACTTGAAAATTCTCAATTCATGTTTGTGAGTTCTGCCTGTTTGCTGGCCACCTCTTTTCATAACTTCCTGGATTCCCTGCATGCTTTGCAGCTTCTCTTTTGCTGTTTATTTTCAATTTCATATCCCATGGTAAAATTACAACCACCATTGTGGAGCGCTATTGGGTGAAATATCAGCACCTCATAATTCACTTAGAACAATAAAAAGTGCAATACAACTAATAATATAGCATATTCAGCATAAAGTCCATTGCAAAACACCGTGCTATGCCTTTTCTAGTAAATGCCACCATCTTTGCTTGATCCAGCAATAGTGAGTGACCACACCACCACCAGATGTCTGCTCACCTTCTATACATGGCCTCACATCAACTGTTCAGTCATATAGCGCTTTTTGTCCCTTTCATGGACACTGTAGATGTGGCTTGTATGTCCCTGATCAATATACACAGCTTTCCACTCACCTCCTCAGTCACCACTCCGTCTCATGCAAATAAAAATTTATAGAGTGCTTTATCCTTAAAAGTTTTTAATTTCATTAGAATAAACAGGTACAATTTTACTCACATGTGATGGGTGAGTATAACTGTATCTGTTTATTCTAATGAAATTAAAAACTTTTAAGGATAAAGCACTCTATACATTTTTATTTGCATGAGACGGAGTGGTGATATCAGGTGTGATATTTACAGCTTGTACATAAGATACGGCGGTCATTTGCAATACCGCTCTCACCGCTATGATCTTCGATCCTTCGGAGCGTCATGGCTCTTTAAATTTTACAGCATCATTCAAGCATTGCATAGATCATCTGTAGGCCTTGGATCTACAAATCATTATGATCAAATAAAATATATAAGATGGTTCTACCTTCAGTGACAACCATAATCCATAGTCTCTGTGTTATTTTCCCATGTTTGTGACGCATATAATTTTACATACACCTTTGAAACCTGTAACAAGTTGGAAATATTCCAAGAGTACATTATGTCAAATGTGACTGAGCCAGACATTCTACATTTTAGGACGACTTCCTGATCATGCATGACACAATAGAAGTAGTTGTTTGATGATGGAATAGCTACAGTCATTGTGTGATTACATCAACCATTAACCATGTTACAGCATGCATACTCACGTCTATCAGTCTAACTGCAGTATGCATGAAGCCCAACTGTCATCATATTAAAACTAAATGGCTGGTCTAACCATGACATACACCTTTATTTACTAAAACTGGAGAGTACAAAATCTGGTCCAGCTCTGCATAGAAACCAATCAGCTTCCAGCTTTTGTTTTGTCAAGATTAATTGAACAAACTGAAGTTAGAAGCTGATTGGTTACTGTGCACAGCTACACCAGATACTGAGTGCTCCAGTTTTAGTAAATCTACCCCTTTCAGTCAATTTCAATCACTTTACACCCACCTGGAATCACAAATATGATCACAAGCAGTTACCAGAAACTAAGCAATCTCTGACCCATAAGTTCAATCAACCATCAGAATTCACTTTTGTTTTTGGCAATTTAGCCAAAATGGATCCAGGTAATTTCAATCCCATGTCCCTAGAGTTATTAACAACTACCGTTCCAGGACTTTTATTGCTTAATGAAACAAAAATTAGATCTAAAGTTCTATTGCTCAATCACATTGCCAAATGTATGGTTATTCCTAGACATGCAAGGACAGTTGATTTGTACACTTGCAGTCCACCACAAGGTATGTCTAGGAGCCAGCATTTCCAGAAATATGGATCACCTGAATCTACATATTTGCTGAATGTAGATGGGTAGTCCGCTCCCAGTGTCACTTTTCTTTTGAAGCAATAACAAGGCTTTAAATCCCATGCGGTCGATCTTTTTCAGAGCGGTCAGTTGGAGAGTGTTTATTGCTACCATAAACCTGAGATCTTTCATTCAGGCCAGATAACCTCATGTGGCCACATTAATTGGACTAATATTTGCCTGTGATATAATGTATGGATCACTATAGAGCATATAATGGAGGTATAATGAACACTCATTTTATATAAGGATTTGTCAAAGCAGGTAACATATTGCTTTAAACTGTAAAATGTAAGAAAATGAAAAACTATCTTTAACCTCTGTTGCGCAAGGTCTCGATAGTCATGTGTAGTTATTGAAGAATCAGTATTTAGACTAATGTCCCATAGTCTTGTATAAGACATTGCTCTTGCAGTATGGTATAGTCAGCGTAGGTTAGTTTAGGAGGCTAGGGAGAGGGGCTGTGTGGATCTTAAATAATTAGTGAACTTGTCCTTTTAAGGTATATCTGCCTGAGAGAAATATAAAACTATCATTGCTGAACTCTCCTTTTCAAAGTGCTTGTTATAAATAAAGGAATGCGCTAAATAATGAATAAACACAAAAAACAAATAATATGAAATCATAAATAACAAAAAATTATCAAACATAATGTCCGTAATAATAAATATGTCCAACCACCATCACAAGTGATAATCTATCCTAAAATCTTGTATAAATCAACCAAACGTGCAAAAATCCACCACGGAATGAAATGAATAAACTCACCAGAGCTATATGCTGATCAAATTATAAATCAGCACAATAGCAATTGCTCTGGGAGCGATGATCTGTGGAGGTATCCAAAGTATGGGAGCAATACACTGCAATCGGCACATATGGAACAGCCTTATCACCAAGTGGTCATCATGTCTCTATAAACATTGGTAATGCTCGGGGAATCAAAGAATATAATGGTGCAGTACGTTTAAAACAAGTATGCTGCTTTATTAACATATCGGATATGCACTCACAAGAAATGTGTCGCTTTAAAAAAAAAAAAAACCGTACTGCACCATTATGTTCTTTCTTGATTCCCCGAGCATTACCAATGTTTATAGAGACATGATGACCACTTGCTGATAAGGCTGTTCCATATGTGCCGATTGCAGTGTATTGCTCCCATACTTTGGATACCTCCACAGATCATCGCTCCCAGAGCAATTGCTATTGTGCTGATTTATAATTTGATCAGCATATAGCTCTGGTGAGTTTATTCATTTCATTCGGTGGTGGATTTTTGCACGTTTGGTTGATTTATACAAGATTTTAGAATCGATTATTCTTTGTGATGGTGGTTGGACTTATTTATTATTACAGACATTATGTTTGATCATTTTTTGGTATTATTTCATATTTGTTTTTGTGTTTTATTCATTATTTAGTGCATTCCTTTATTTATATTACGTAACTTTTTTTGGTTAGAATTGCAGCTCTATTCCTATTTAAAAATTGCTGGCATTTTTTCTATTACCATTACAAAGTGCATGTTACCTGGATGTCACATTGTTGCAAGTGACTGATTTGGAATAAATTTAAAAAATCAGGAATTACATTTTTCTGACTTTTGATTTGTTACATGCTTGTGTTAGGTCTGCAACCTAAAATATTGAAGCTAGACACAACCAGGCAACAAGTATTTTCAGAAGAAAGCAATGGCAGGTCTCATGTTGCGCTCGTGACATGTGTACTTTAGGCCTTAATGATTTTGATAGTAATATTTAGGCTTAACATCTTGGAAGGTGTACTAGATTACCATGGGCCAACGTGCAGTGTCCCAAACTTCACACTATTCTTCATGAATATAACCCACACATTCTGACAGTCTTTTCTTTTTCCACAGTTACAACCACGCTGATATAGAAAAGCTGTTTACCGGCAGCTGGTCCCCCTTCTGGGTTAAGATGGGATCCTGCTGGTTGTGCATTGTGCTCTACCTCGGCTCTCTGATGCTTCCCATTTGCTGCAACAGCGGAGGATATGTGGTTTAGCTGAACGGGACTCTTTTATCTGTCATAAGAGGTTTTATGATCTGTTGCGTCATTTGTTACACGTTCTTAATCTAGTTACATATGCTTGATTGAGAACTTATTTTTTAAATACCCTTTTTATTGTAAAACATATTGTGCAGGACACAAGACTCCAACATCAATAAACCAATTTTTACAGCAGTGTTCTGTAGCATGTCAAGTATAGAAAACACATTGAGCCTGAATAATTGTTTTCAGATTTGTTTGTCTCATTTATAGAGAAGAATATTCCAGACAATGTCTTACAATGAGTGCTATTTACATAATTTCCTCTGTGTAAAACGCCATATTTAGACTTTAGACTTCCCCGTGAGAGGGATTCCCATTCATATGCTCCTGCTTGGGACCATTAGACTAGTGTACTGCCCAGACCAGAGCAGGCCTCATGACTCTTACCTGTTACACCTATCAGCGTCTCTTGTTTAAGCATGTGTTATGACAACACAGACAGTTCATCTTCAAGGTACTTCCAGTCTATATGTCGTGAACCTTTATTTACTACCTAAATCTATTATCCAGATTTCTCATGCCTGATGAACCATTCTCATGAACTAATCACATGTCCTATCTTTCTGTAATGTGTTTGAAATATATGAGATAGAAATTTAAAAGGTGTTATTTGCCCTGCTGTGGGGACATGGTCGTAGTGTCCAGCAATGTTGTGATCCATCACTGTGGTCCTGCGTTTACCAGGGTCCTATATTCTTGAGCCCAGAGACAAAATCATAGGTCGGCAGGCTTTTGTACAAGTTGGCCTACTGGTACCCAAAGGTGTTGAGATCTTGCTGCTTAAAATGAACATCAAGTTAGATACATTTATCATCTGTTCTATACAATGACTGTATTTTCAAATCGTATTGTATGTGGATCTAAAGTGGGCATTGGCTAACCATATATATACTGCCATACATAACACAATCATATATGTCTGCTTGACTTCCACGTGGATTTTGGTTGACATTGGTGTTTTACAGGATTTGCATGGATCAGTAAATGACAGAGAAAGAATAACCAGTCCATGTATAGCCTGCTTTGAGCTGCTTAATTTCAGTAAGGAAACCAACAATAGTGCTCAGATTTTGGTTTTTACATGTAACCTGTCGGTATAGAAATAAAGGTGTTGCCATTGCCAACTAGTTTTTAAAGCTACATGTTCCAAGACTGTCATCCTTAAATTTTTAATACTTAGTCACTGGCCTGGAACCAGCATGTGTAGGTGTCAAGGCACTTATTCATATTCCTGTTCTTGGTAAGTGACTAAGTAATGAAGCCAGGATACAAAAGACAGCTATGGGACATGCATCTTCACAACCAACTACTTATAGAAAGTTCCTGTAAAGCTTGTTCCAGTGTTGGTGCTATGTCATTATCAGCCTCAGCCTTTTTTTTTTTCCAAGAAACCGAATGCAAGCCCTATCCAGCATAAGTTGTCCAGTTTTTGCAAATATATTTATATGTGCCCATTTCTCACTTTGAAGATCTGTACCGAAGACCCCAGTCACACTGGGTGTGACTTGACATGGGATTTACATGCCATACGACTTGCAAGTTTTACCCTATTGTCCGCAGTTATAGCGGTCATATCGGAGCCGCACCGATTTCTAAAGTAGTACATGCACTATTTTGGTGCGATTTACATAGACATCTGTGTCAAATATCTTGCAAATCGCACCTCAAATCGGCATGTCATCCAACTTTGAAATCGTCTACACACTGTAAGTCGCACGATTTCAAAGTCTGATCGGTGTGACCAGGGTGTAAATGTACTTCTCTCTTTTTATGGCCCCAAAATAGAGTCGAACGACATTTAAAACAATGTGGCTGAAATTTTCAGGGGAACCTCATCTGACTTAAAATGTTACAACAGTACGTAAGTGCAGACTTATTCTGCCAAGTACCTGTGGCTGTCTCAAATGGATCCCTATGGAGCCCCTTGGATCCTAGGTCCAGTCTGTACCATAATGCCTTGACTTTTGTCCAGTTTAGGAGTAAACCTCACCCCTGTCTGGTGCTGTACCTCACTTTCTGTCCATTGTCTGTCAAATGCCAGAGCCCTTACTTCCCACTGAGGTTCTGACATGTTTTAGGCCGGCTCATTTTCACTTTACTTATGCTAAATCATTCTAGCAGGACTGCAAAGCAAAATTTTCCCCCATCTTCTACCATCACCCTTCACCTAAAATTATTTGCTCGTTTTAGGTGGATATTTCCATATTTCCTATATGCTTTTATAAAGGTCCTTGGGGTGGAGTTTAACCTCGGGGCGACACTTCTGAACACTGTGTAGCTTACTAATCTGAAACGGACAGACCTAAGTGCAATTTAACTGGTATTGTTCTGTGATCTGTGGTAAGAATTATTCTCTATGACGGGGAGATTTATGCAGTATGCAAAATCAGATGCCATATATTATCCAGATGAAAAAAACTTTATCTTAAAAGGGCTTATATTATAGAGTAATATAAAAACTATATGAAACATATGCACATGTAACTACATTTACCAAAAACTGTACATCAGTGGTTTGCTACAAGCTGTGAATTCACTAAAATGTATTTGTTTTTTTGATCTTGTTTTTTGTTTTTTTTTTAGATATAATAGTTGTTTCATGTATTTCAGAATGGGTATTTCTCATTTATTGGCTGTTTATTATTTTTTTTTCTAATTGCTTTATATGGTTTTATAGACAAAAAATATTATGAAACTGACTAGTTGTAGTCTAAAACTGGACAACAGAAAATTATTAGAGAAGGGCTCTGGCCCATAATTACTTGCTTCAAATGAAAGATAAAAGTTAAAGGGATGTTTTCTGCTTTATCTATAGGCTTATACTGTCCTTTTATACCTTGATAATTAAAAGGTAATGTTGCCAGGCTTTGTAGGATTTGGGTTTATTGATTTGAGCCATCTTCTTGCTTCTACATGTTTTTTCCTGCATGATGGTGGACAAGCAGCTCAGACAGAGCAATGTGCTTTCTGCATCAGTTCTCAAGAATTTATCTATCACAAATCAGCAACAAATTAGCATTGCTGGTCTGCCAGTGATTTTTGTTTTCAAGCTATAGACTTGCTCATTTTAGATAGAGAAAGATGGAAAGATTCAAGGTGGTAGATAATAAAAAACACCCATGTCCCTGGTGTTTAGGTCATTGTATATTTTTTTACTAACTGCACATACAGTTCCACATGGTAGCTTTGGCACTTTAATACTGTTCTAAAACATGATGTAATATGTAATTCCCTTTTTAATGAAGATCTGATTTGTTGCTGCATTTTTCACTTCACATTCTTTGCTCTGACAGACCATTTAGGTGACTTGCACATTAGGCATTTAACCAGTGTGCATCCAATCCCAGCATTTTAGTGCACCCAGTAGGCATAGGTGCATAGGTCCAGCCCCGCTACCTGCAGCCTGTAAAAGTCTATGGCAGGCTGAAATATGCTGCACCTGAATGGGGATGAATGCTGTACCAAGTGGTACTCCCGTTTAGTGCTGTATGCGTCCAGGGATGTATACTCAGAATGCAGATATGCTGCCTTCCGTGCATATGTCCTTGAATGCATCAGGCCCTAGAAACAAGTATCATTCAGTATAGGATTCGGCCCTGTCCAGCCACACTGTAGTTCAGCCCCCAGTAGACAGCCAGGCTGCAGAGAGCAGGGCTGAATGCTGCACCAATGCCTACTGGATGCACTAAAACTCTGGGATTGGATGCACATGGAATAAACGCAAAGTAGCCAAGCACTACAGAATTATGGTGGCAGAAGATGACTGACAGACTCCTATTATCTGCTGAACTCAATTTGCAAGAATATATTCTTATTTCTTCAAATCAGGCCTTCTATAATGGGACAGCAAGCCATGTGTTTTGATTAGGGTTCAATTTTCTGCATTTTTTTTGAGTATTTTTTTTTTCTTTTGGAATCTGTAAGAGTATTTTTTCTTCCAGGCTTAATGGCACTCACATGCTTTTTTTTCTCAGCCATCTATACACCTACAGTAATTGCTTCTGTACGTGTGTTTTATTTGTTAATTTTCTGGTTTTAGTTTTTGTTTGCCCCCGCAAAGAGGCTAATATGTTCTTTAGTTGTAAATAGCACTGTTGAAAGATAGATAATGACATTATATTTTTGCTAATAATTCTAAAGTTCACTATATGTTATAATCCAACTGTCAATCTTTGTACAAATTCCTTTAGATGTAACATTGTAAGCGCCTATCTAAACCATCCAGTTAGTATTCCTTGTGCTACATAGCTGTTGGTAGAAATTAAGGATATTGTAATGTGTGCTTGGTGAGCATCCATCATTAGTTTAAAGGGTACCTTTCCATTCAAATATAGTGGAGCCTTTTAACCAGTGAGCTAACCCAGTGTTGGGGCGCTAGGTGCTGATGACATTCTGGAGGAACAAGGTAAAATGTTCTTCTAACACAGTGAGCCATTTGTTCAAAAAGGATAGAAAACGGGCCCTACTTGGATTTTCCTTCAGCTATACCCAGCACACAACGGCTTGAGTTGTAAACAGAAAGACAATAGACCCCTTAGGTATCAGTAGTCATTCGCACCTCTTTAAAATTAAACTATACTACACTTTGGTCAACTTTATTTAAAAAGTTTAAAAACTGATCACTTATCTTTTTTGTTTTTTGCTTTTGTGAAATCCTTAGTTTAGAAACTAACCGTTTATTTAGGGTTCTCAAAGAGTATTCTAGCACTTCTTATAAGACAGCCAGCTAGCAGCAGCTTACTTGCAGACTATATCTCTCTAATTGATACTCCATACCAGGGTTTCTCAATTAGGGTTCCTCCAAAGGTTGCTATGAGTTTCTTGAGCAATTTCTGCCTCTTAGATAAGTTCCCATTGACACCATTGATCTAATTAGCCATTTGTAAGGGGGTAATTCTTCCCAATGACAAGTGTAAGGAGCATTCTTCCCACTGACCATCACACTAATGGAT